GCATCCTCGAACAAGCCATCGAATATATCACTGTAATCTTCGGAACAAATCGATGTTGTGTCGAGCTCGAGTGAGTCTTCCTCGTAGCTCCCGCTATCTGCAAATCCTGCAGACATGTTGAGACCTTCAATAAAGTCCAACACATTCGATTCTGTGTGTGCCATCCAGGCGGAATCTTCTTCTTCCTGTGCTGCTGCAGCATTTGCCTTGGATTTGCCTTTCCCCTTTCCTCGTGGACCCTGGCCGGCCTTGCCGCCGCCTTCAGCCCAACAATCCGATTTATAATGACCCTTCTTCTTGCAATTGAAGCATTCAGCATCTTTCTTCGACTTTGAACATCCCCGACCCTTCCCACTGGAAGAATCATTGGAGTAGAAGGCAACATCCTTGTCATCCTTCCTGCCGTTCTTCTTCAGAAGTCGGCGCTCATATTCGTCGGTGACAGTGAGCATGAGATCATCTGCACTAAGGGTAACTCCGATCACGCTAGACGTAGCGCTGACTGCGGAAATATAGGGATCGAATGAGGAGGGTAGGGAGCCGAGAATGATTGCGTAGAAATCTTCGTCGGTCGGGGTTTGACCCATTGCTGCGAGATCTTCGCGCATGGTCCTAAGCTTTGTGAAATGGGCACGAATATCGCCACGCTCTTCACAACGCTCCTCTTGAAGCCTGCGGCGCAAGTCTACTGAAACCATGCGAGATTTCTTCTGGAATTCATTTCCGAGTTCCGTCCAAATTTCGCTACAGTTGTCTTGCCTCGGATCTTCATGAACAGTGAGTCTGGAATCGTCCAGCAATCTGCTGTTTCACAATCGCTTCCCCCTGCTGCCATACTTTCAATTCTTTCTTCCACTCTGTCTCCAATGCCATTTGCTGTGCAGTCCATGCTACAGCTACTCCGTGGAGCGAATAGCCAAAAGAGGATCAACTGGTGCAGCAGCCAGTCTGTCGAGGTGCTCTGCGAGACCTCGAGCATCAACAGCCCATATGAACCGGTCTTTGTATATGACCCAGTTCGTGCCAGTGACTTCAAGCTTCGGGATGCGCAAGAAATCATCGCCGAGTTTGGTGGTTGTGGACGACATTGTAGGTGGATAGAATTTTATTCAATGAAAATATTTTCGGGCAAGCAGGTGCGGTATGAGGATGATCAAAGTGGTAAGGTTTTCTTTAGATGCGGGGTGCGGGGCCCATAACCTATGGGAAGATATAATTGATGGGGGTGCAACTAAAGAACAGACTGAATATATTGCAGAGATAGCTTGGTATAAATACAAGTCTCTTATCTATGAGTCAGACAAGTAATGATACCAAGGCTGTGTGAAACACAATAAAGCATATGGTGAAAAAGATGGTAGTCGGGCAAAAAGCAGGCTAAACCTAAAGTGAACATAGCAACGGTGAAAAGACAATAAAAGAAGTAAAATTGTGGAGCAGTCCATGTGCATTCCACATGTATTCCGCATGGTCAACATGACCACGGGTTGTATTTCCAACAGTGTGGAACTGTGCTCTTCTACCTAACCCTGCGGATGACCTCAGTGCAAGATTCTGAGACGCAGTGGAGTTGGCTCCTGGCAGCATCCTGGAGCATCAGCGCTGTGAATGACGTGACGATCGCCGCGACCCTAGTGACCATCCTCCTTTGCCAACGGACCAATGCACAAAAAAGGTCCCCCCCCCCCAATCTAATATTGAGTTGAGAGTCATCCCGTTATGTTACGCAGGACCTTGGCGCTTATTGATAAACTGGTCGCATGGACCATAGGTTCGTCAAGAGTTTGCTCGCATTGTAATTTCCGCTCACAATTCATGCAGAAACCGGGATGCTAACAAGGTTCGATTCGCAGTCTGTTCCTTATGCCGCATCTCATTTTTAAACTTCTAGTGCGATGACCGTCACATCACTTATCTGCGTATGTCCCATCCCTCTGTCAACCCTACAACCTGCATACTTTCTTCCAGTATTTCGCAAAGAAAGACAGCTGTATGCTTGCCAAAAAAAAGTAATATGTAGTGTACATCCTCACCATTTTGTAGTTATCTGGGTTGCAGTTTCCACCGTTGAAGCGCGAAGTGAGTATCCCCCCGTCAGTTTGCTCCGCAACTTTAACCATATGAATAACCTTAAGTGTTTTCGAACTCGCTCTTGGCTAGGTAAGTTGACAATGATGTCGAACGGTCAAACCGATGAACTGATATTGGGATTTATACGCAGTTTGAACTCCAGAGCCACGCTCCGCGCAATGAACGAGGTTTCCCTGCCATCTTTGCACTTTACAGCCGCGGTGAGTTTCTATCCCTCGTTTTGGAGCACTTGTTAATGGCAGGAGACATAGATGGCATCGCTCTCAAACGGCGTCCAGATTACAGAAGTGGCGCAGATGGCATCCAATGTTGGGCTGTCCCGTTTCCAATCCGCGACCGAGATGGAGAATAAAGCTAGTTTGCAACAAGATAATTATGTAGTGTAATGTGATCAACCCGCCATGCTCAACCTGTGCGTGGGTCAAGCAAATGGAGCGTTAAAACAGTGTTGACGTGGTGGTGTGTGACATGGGAGAACAGCCGTCAACTTGAACAAGCGCCCGCCGCTGCGTCGCATCACCGAATTATCCGTTCTCTCAAGATTTACTGCCCGATTCGTTGGGACCTGTTTGGCTCCATCCTCTTCGAGCCTACCCCATTTTGTTCACCCCGCTCGTCTACTCGAACTTTTACAGCTTTTTATACCATCTTCCCACCAAAAATTCATTTGGTCACACAGCCCTCACACCGAGCGTTTAATTTCGGTTGGCCGAACGTAGGCGCTTCAAATAGCGTACAGATAGTGTACAGATCAATCCTACATGTTTCTCATGTGACAAACTTAAGCGCCGCCATCGTTGTCCTCCGCTCCCATGCGACTGTCCGACCCCGAAGACAGTCCAGGCGCCAACGCCTCCCCGCCTAGCCGCATCACCCAGCGTACGATGACGATACAGGAGCTTTCCGCCTGGGTCTCCTCCGCCCACGCCAACGTCCAGGAAATCGCTATCACCGACATCCTCTGGTGGGCCAAGCGGAGCGTCCTGCGGCACCAGTTCCTCGTGCTGCGCTTCGACTACGCCGGAGCAACGTACGAGCTCACAATCGAGCGCGTTGGGAAGCTCCTTTTGAGTCCGTCGCAAACGGCGGTCGACCAGGCTGAGTTCAGGGTCGCTCCCGCGGGGCGCGACGCCGAGTTCGAGAAGAAGAACAAGCTACTTTTCGGGTTGCTTACGGATGAGAAGTTGTTACCCAACGGTCCGTGTACCCTCGAGCTCCGCCCCCCCGATGAACAAAGCCCAGACGCTTTGCATAGGCTATGTTTCCCACCCAGCGTTTGTCGACTTTGTCGACCACAAATGGTGCGGGCCACGAGCGAAACTCTCCGACATCGCTCGCTACGCCGCCCTCGTCCGTTCGCAAGAGATTCGGTACAGCATCACCCGGGCGAACTGCTACTTCTTCGCTCGCGTTCTCTTCCACACCATCGCCCTCCGGCACTACTCTCTCCCCCTCCTCACATCCAGTGATCCCCTCTGGTACTTTGCGCTAACTACCGGCCGAGATAACAGATCGCCGAAACTCTCGTTGAACGCAGGCGTCGTCTGGGAGTCGAACAAGAGCTTCAACCGGTTCGACCCCTCTTCAACCGGCATCGTCTTCCGCTTCCTCCTGCGCCAAGGCGACTCTAACTCCGCGACGTTTTGGACGCGCTTCATTTTCATCTTTACGATTCCCATGATCCTCGGGGCAGCAGGGGGCGCGATGTACGCCTTCGCAAAGCTCTTAAACTCTGTCGTACACACCCGAGCGCCCCACACTTCTCTCTTTATCAAAGCTGCAGGAGACATCATCCTAATTCTCTTTCTGCTGGGCGTATTTGCGATATTATTCTGCATCCCGGCATGTTGTGCTCTGGGGTGCCTTGGGGGGGGACGACATGGTTTGGGCAATTGTTGGGGAAGAGGCTTGCGAGGGGAAAGATAGATATCAAACGGAGGAAGGTGTTGGCGATACTCGGTGCGCCGGATGATTATACCCCGGTTTCTAACAACTTGCTGAGGACAAAGCGCAGAAGCGGAGCTCCCGTTCGTGCAGCGCCGGGGCGACTACACTCCCATTCTCATCCCTACCACTGCAAAAACGTGGTCGGAAGCGAGTATGCTGAGTTGGAGACCACGATTTGAACCGATTTGGCTAGAGGTTATACGTAAGATGCGCACCGAGTATACTCCTGTCAACGAAACGCGGGAGATGCCGACACTCTGGGAGCACGTACGTCCCCACCGGCTCGCGATGCAACCGACCTGATTGATTGCGGCTCGGGCAGGAAGAGCAGGTATATCCCGAAGGAAGGGAGGAGTACAGGGCGGCTTGGGAGCTGCTGCATACATCTGCAGATGTTGACAATGGGTCGGTGCCAGTGCTCACTTTGCTGACGGGTTCTCATTCCAAACAGACCGAGATCTCAGACATCCCAGAGACCCAGTGTCGAGAGTCTGAGATTCCAGAGACCCAGTGTCGAGACACCCAGTGTCGCCTCATTGTCGTCCGATTCTGATCTGGGACATGTGACGCCGACGTCTACAGTACTGTCTACAGAATTCCCCAACGCTTTGCCTCTGCCCCGCCGCACGGCTTCTGATCATGAGTGGGGACTGGCAACGGAAAGGGCTTTGACAGCAATTACATAACAGCCGTAAGGCCCATTTCGTGGCACAACTCGCGAGGTCGATAACTCGTTCCCCACGTATGATTGTAGTAGGCCGGCAAGCGGCGGGGCACAAACAAGCGGTATGGTTTCAATTTGAAAATATTTATACACAAGTATCTACAATCTAGTCGAAATTGTCGCCCGTCAAATCCAAATACCAGTCAAGAATTTCCTTTGCTTTCTCGAGAGTTTTAGCTGCCAGTTTTTGAAGCTTTTTTTCCATCTGGAGAAAAAAAAGTTCATTCTTCTGCACTAGTGCCCTCGGCGGGATTCGAACCCGCACTTTCTCATAAAGTCTACTCTAAGCACGATGAACTGATCAGAGACGATCTACCGTTGATCCATGAAGGCATTGGCGGAGGCCGAATACATGTAATCTGGCATTTCGGGTGTTGGGTGTCAGAAACGGTTGAGCCAGTCAATGTTGGATTTTTACAGGATGCTCAACCGAAGTGCTCTTGGGAGAAATAAAATGAAATTGAGCACTGCTTCCGGTGACAATTTAACCTAGAAAAAGAAAAGAGAACGAGCTGTCTCTGGCGTGCCCATAGGAGGATTCGAACCTCCGTCTCCCTCAAAATCTCGAGCAGTTCACAACAATTTTGGAAGGTGATCTACCAGTTGATCCATACAGGCATGATGGACCACAAAGATAACTTAGGTAGAGTAGAGAAGAACATGGAGCAAAGGGTTCGAACCTCCTACATTCTATATTCCACCCTCATTAATATTATATTATGAGACTCGCTGATCCTGCGGGCGTGATATGGATAGATTTCAAAAAAAATAATGAGCATCGAAGCAAGACCAAAATAATGGCAATAAGAATTATGCCCACAGGAGGGCTCGAACCTCTGTCTCCTTCAAAACTCAATATATATCCAAAGTAATTGTAGAAGGTGATCTACCAACTGATCTATGTGGGCGTGATGAGTCTCGATGACAAAAATGAATGAGCATGGAAGAAAAAAGCTTTTCTAAACTGGTAATACCCGCAGGAGGGTTTGAACCTCCGTCTCCTTCAAGAATCAAATTCTACTGCACTTCACAGAATACTTAATGGAAGGCGATCAACTGATCCATGCGGGCGTAATGTGTCTACACCCAAAAAAATGAGCTGGAAGAAAAAATATTGCATAATCTTGATGCCCACAGGAGGGGACCTCCATCTCCTTCAAATATAATATGTTATGGCATAACTAGTTGGTACCCGTGAATAAATTCACGGGCATTTAAGTTGTTTCTTCAGTTCCTATCAGTTGTACCCAGGCAGGTGTTGGTTGTAGCCCGTACCCAGTTGGCACTTCCCAGTTTCCCGTTAGCTGTTCTCAGTTTGCCGCTTGATGTTGAACCTAGTTTCCCGTTGGCTGTTCCCAGTTTAGGGCTCTGTTTATAATTCCCTGGGCATTTATAAACAGTTTTTAAATTTTGGTTTATAAACGGCGTCCCAAAAATGCCGGAAACGGCTCAGAATCGGGGCTTTTGTGCTCCTTCTCAAGTGCTTCAGTGTCTAACGGTTCTTGTGGTCCAAAATGCAGCTCTGCTGCACCAGCAAGGTCGATTTTTGAGCCTAGAAACCATGTACGGGAAAGACAACCACAGTTTTGGTAATGCACTCGGGGTTTTTTAAGTCTGATCTTCAAATTCCGTGCACTGTTTCCAGAAACCAACCTAAATCGCACGGAAAATATTGCTGTTCTGTCCAATTTCGTCCAAATTCCAGCGGAATAGGCCTTGCTGAGGACTGCCACCTGAATTAAAAACAGGGTGGTTGGCCTAGACATTTAAAAACCGGTTTATAAACACCTGTTTAAAACACTGTTTACAAACCGGCTTTATAAACAGAGCCCTATCCCAGTTTCCCGTTGGCTGTTCCCAGTATCCCCTTAGCAGTTCCCGGTTTCTTGCTGGTTTGTGCTCTCATTGCCCGTTGGCTGTTACCCGTGGTACGTTTGATTTGTTCCTTGACCATTGTCGGTTGCGCCGAGCTGAGGCGGTCTCGGCAGTGCCGGCATTGATGCCGCTGTTCCGCGTGGCTGTGTGCGTCCTAATAGAATGTTCGCTATATCGGCCATTCTATTATATAGAGAGAAGTTGCTACCCGTGAATAAATTCACGGGGCTCGTTGTTCCCAGCGCGCGTCCCGGCTGGTGGTTCCAGTACGCGGTTACGTCGTGCTCGTTAGACCAACTGGTAGTCCCAGTGCAACGGCCCGGCAGTTTCCGCACTACGTCGTAGCTGTGCGGTCATCACATGTGATGTTCCATTGGAAGGTTCTCTGTCTCTGGAATTATATTATATAGAGAGATAACAGAAGGCGATCTACCAGCTGATCTATGTGTGATGTGTCTTGTCAAAAATAATGAAGAAAAGAGATTCCAAATGATCCCCATACTGCCCACAGGAGGGTTCGAACCTCCGCCTCCTTCATATGCGGACTTCACTGAAAATTGTGGAAGACGATCTACCAGCTGATCTATGTGGGCGTGATGTGTCTTGACAAAAGAATGAGCTGGAAGAAAAAATACTCGGAGAACAACATGCCCACAGGAGGGTTCGAACCTCCGTCTCCTTCAAATACAAATACTTTTGCGGCATAATAACAGAAGGCGATCTACCAGCTGATCCATGCGGGCGCGATGGGTGGGGTGACAAAGTATATAGGATACATAGACGAAAATGCGACCAACTTATGGAAGAGATGATTCGAGTTGAAATATAAAATTAGAGAGGAGACGGTGCGGACAGGAAAGTGGGGAAAGAGCCCGTCTGGAGAAAAAAACTCTTTCATTAACTTTCAGTGCCGTCTGCGGGATTCGAACCCGCGCTTTTCTCATGAAGGCTGTTTCGGCTAAACTGATCAGAGAAGATCTACCGCTGATCCACGAAGGAGTTGGCTGAAGGTGAAGATGGCAGGTGTGCTGACCACTTTCAGCCAAGGAAAAATAATAAACTCTACAAATGCCCACAGGAGGAATCGAACCCCCGCCACCTTCACAGATCACCTTGCAATGTGTAAACTGAGGAACGAGATCTACCACTGATCTATGTGGGCATGATGGAGCAAGGAAGACGATGTCTGACTCAGTACCAGGATTCAAAGCTGTTAAGTGTTACATAAAGTATCAGAAAGGCGGGTGCGGTATCAGAAAAGCCAAAAATACCGACGTGATGAATACGGCGAGGAACGGAGAAGCGACGGCGGAGATAGGCGCGGTGAGGCTGTTGAGGGGTGAGGGTTGCAGTGCCGTCGTCCAGGAGTCGTAAACGGTAAAGGGACTCGCCGCAGTCGCATGTCTCTATACGTGGCGTAGAATGCGACCGAACAAATCAGGGTGAGATTTGCCGAGTCATCTTTTTGCGGATGCCGCCGCTTGCGTGGCCAGTGGCCCTTGTTTGTGTGACTTAGTCAGCCGCGTGCCCACCGCAGCCACCCCAAAACAAAATTTATTACAAACAACAAACTCTCTTACTTACCACCACAACCAACCCAACTATGCTCGTCGACTCTCCCATGGCACAGTCCATGTTCGCCACACCGCAGTATGGCACGGAATACACTGCTCAAGACTTCAACGACATCTTCAACACCGAGCTCTTCTCGCTCCCCTCGTCCGGCGCTTCCTCCTCCTCTCCCTCCACCTCTTCCGGCTCGCGGGAGAGCACACCTCACCTGCTCACCCCGCCGCAGGCACCGCCTGCCGCAGCGTTCCCCGACGTCGGCGTGAACGACGGCGGCAGCCCCACACCGAGCTTCTTCAACTTCCTCGACGAGGACGTCAAGGCCTTCGACCCCACGCTCCTCAACCAGGCGCCCTACGACTTTTTCGGCGCCTTCGGCTCCTCTATGGGGCTCAGCAGCGGCGGCGGGGGCGGCGCATCCAACCTCATCTCCAGCACCATGGACTCATCATCGGGTCTGAGTTTCGACTCGAGCATGAGCATGGACAGCGTGAGCGTGGGCAGCGCAGCGGAGATGAGCGCCATGCTCGGCATCGACCCCTCGCTCGTCGGGTCGCCTGCCTCAAACACCAACTCGTACGGCTCGGATTTCGAGTCGTCTTCCTCGAACGACTCCTCCTCGAATGACTCGACGTCGCCGCAAGCGGCGGCCTCGCCCGAGGAGAGCACGACCATCGCGCCCGTCAAGGTCGGCGGGCACGGCAAGGCGCGCAAGGGCACCGTCGTCAGCGGGGGGATCAAGAAGTCGTCTTCTTCCTCCTCCGCTGCTGCGGCTGCAGTGAAAGAAAACACCTCCTCGGCCTCGACCGCGTTCATGCCGACGACGACGTTCAAGCCCCGGGGTGCCAGCAAGGCGCACGGGGACGACGACGAGGACGACGACGACCTACCGGCGGACTGGCGGCCCCCGCCGGAGGTGTTCCAGAAGATGAGCAGTAAGGAGAAGAGGCAGCTGAGGAATAAGATTAGTGCGAGGAATTTTAGGGTCCGGAGAAAGGGTTTGTGTTTTTCCCTTTCTTCCCCCTCCCCGTTTTTGTCTTCGTCTTCCAAAAAAATCTTATACTAACGACTCCAAAAGAATACATATCAACCCTCGAAGACAACATCGCCGAGCGCGACCGCCTCCTCTCCGCCATCCGGTCCGAGTTGGGCTCAACGCAGAGCGAGAACCTCGCGCTCCGGCAGGAGATAGCAGCGCTCAAGCGCACATTGTTAGATAACCGCGGCCCTGCCCCCGTCCTCCCTCCCCCCGCTCCCCTCTCCCTCTCCCCATCCCTCGCCTCCTCCGCGTCTTCCCCATCATCTTCCTCCTCCTCAAGTGCAGCGACGAAGAAAGAAGACCTCCCCCTCGCCCACACCCTCAAAGACATCGGCGCCTCCTCCTCCGCGCGCTTCTGGGGCGGTGCGAACATGGGCATGGCAGGCGGATACACGAGCGTACACACTGCGCGGATACCGGAGTTGCTTGGTGCGAGTCCGTGGGCGGCGAGTCCGTTTGCGAGCGCGAATATCGAGACGCCGGCGTCTGCGCCGCCGACGGTGGTGCCGCAGCAGCAGGAGAACCTGAACCCGGCGTTGAACAACGCGAAGGTGACGGATTTGGTGCATCGGGCGGGGTTGGGGATGGGCGCGGGGATGGGCGCCCCACCACCGACGACGAATGGTGGGAATGCGGATATGTGGGGAGACGCGAATCCGTTTACGGTGCGGAGTTTGGATGCGTGAGTGTCTTTTTTTCGGGTTTTTGATCTTTGACCGCTCCCTTGAAAAATGAGTCCTGTCCACCCGAGCAACCGTTCCCTACTCCCCTACCCCGCTCACCCACACATTCCTCCTTTTTTTGTGCTGTCGCTCCTCGTTCCCTCTTCCCTTCTACTCCCACTACCACTACGTGCCCCGTTTTTCTTTACTCGCTCCGCTCGCAACCGCATACTGACATCCCCGCCCACAGATACCGCATGCACCTCTGGGGCCGCATGGCCGCGCAGTACCGGCACAACAAGGAGCAGACCGCCTCTGCCTCCCCGCCTCCCCCCTCGCACTCCCCCTCGCACTCACACACCTCGCCCTTCAGCAGCGGCGCCGCCTCGCCCTTCTCCAACGGCACGCCCACCAACAACGCCAGCTCCGCCTTCGCGCCGTCGCCCTTCTTCAATGCGTCTGCGAAGGCACATTCGCCGCCGCACTCGCCGCCGTTCCCGCTGTCGGGTCTGGCGGGCGGGTTGCGGCCGAAGTATTTTGCGAGCCCGACGATGCCGTTTGGGTCCTCGCCTTCGTCTGCGTCCTCTTCCTCTTCGGGTGGAAACAAGGACAGCAGCGACAAGACCGCCTCGAGCCTCGCCGCCTCGCTCGCCGGGCTCTCGCTCTCCCCCAAGGGCGGGGTGCTGCAACAACAGCATCTGCGCCAGAAGGAGGCGCAGCAGCAGCGGGAGAGGGAACAGGCGAGGGAGAGGGAGAGGGAGGCGATGTATGCGGCGCTGGCGAGCCAGACGCTGCTCAAGCGCCTTGGGGGCGCGTTTTGGGAGGCGTTTTCGGGGGCGGAGCATAAGGACAAGTCGGGGGCTGCGCTTGCGTCGTCGTCAACGGGGTCTTCGACAGCATCATCTTCGAATGTGGGGAGGAATTGGGACGCGGAGAAAGTGAGGAAGGTGTTGGAGGGGAAGGCGGTGGTGAGGGTGGTGGATGTGGAGCCTCCGTCGCCCAGGCTCGCAAATGCTGCGGTGCAGGCGCAGACGCCGGCTGCTACACCTGCGTCACCGAAGGCGTCACCGAAGATGGACGCGAAGAGGTGCTCGTCGACGAAGGTGGCGGAGGTGTTGGAGGAGAGTATGAGGAGTTTGAGTTTGGGGAAGAAGTAGGGTGGGGGGCGCTCACCTCCTCCGCTACTTCGGGCTTCGTGCTGCGGCGTCGTGCGACGAGGAAGCGGCGACGGCGAAGACGAAGACGACGGCTTCCCTCCTCCTTCTCTCGACGACTCTCCTCTCGCTTTCTTTCGCTCTCGCTTTCGATTCACCTATGTGGACTCCCTCCCTCCCTGGTTTTCGGCTTCGATACAGATACAGATACGATATACATATCTCGCTCGTTTGAGCGCTGTCACTTTCCTTGCATCGTCTTTTTTTTTTCTTTCTGTTTTTCATCTCATTTCGCATTGATATTTCCTCCTCGATGATACGTACTCTCCTTCGCTCTCCCATCCATCTCATCCATCTCTCGTCTACCCACCCCTGCCTCCTCCTCCCCCTCCGACTCCTTCGACACCTCCCGGCTCCGCCCTGACTCGTCCTCGATCGGGCCCGAATCGAGTCGGCGTCGACGATTGCCCGAGTGCTGCGGCCGCGTCACCCCGAAGCCGAGGCCGACCTCAAATCCCGCTTACGTGTCGGCGTCATCGGCTTTACGCGATGCGGTTGCCCATCCGTTCGCCTCTCACCTTCCGCCCACTCGCCTATCGCCTCGTCCGCTTTACGGTTACGGCTCGGACAACGAGGACGAGGCAACGCAACGCGCAGGCAACGCGCGAGCAACGAGGCGGAGATAGTTGTAGCATGTAGGCGTGGCTCCCACACCCCCACCTCTACGCAGCACCCTTCCTTGCCTTACCCAGCAACCGGCACACCCCCACCCCACCCCCACTCCCAAATCCAGAATCCAGAATCCTGAATTGAATCGAAACGTTGTACATATAGTATTAAGTAGAAGCAAGCGTACTTATAGCCTGGATAATTGAATGTGAATCGAATTGGTTTTAACTCTCTTTGGCTTGTGTCTTTAAGTTTGAAGGCGAGAAAAATTGGGTCTATAAACCGGAAAGGAAATGAAGTGAAGGCGGGAGGTAGGTAGGTAGGTAGAATTACACGGAGTTCATGTGGGCCGCGGCCCTGGATGAAGGCTCCCATGATAGGGTATATGATACGTGGTAGGATATCTGCCACGGTCACTCAATCCGTCAACATTGTCCACGTCGTGAGGCTCTGCAGCGGCTGGTAGGTTAATTATCGACAATAGAGAGGACTTGCAACTGCCGCTCTCTGCTGCCGCTCTTTCACTCACGAACGACCTCCACTTAAACTACCGGCTTCAAGTTTGCCAAAGCTGAGGAAGACGACGACGGTCGCAAGCGAGGCAAGATGAATAGCGTCAAGCTGATGGTAATTGGAGACCATGCTGTCGGAAAGGTTCGCCGCAACGTTAGCCTTACGCATAATGCTGGATCTTTATTATTATTCTGCGCGCTAGACCAGCATGTGTATCTCGTTTGCGAGCGGGAACTTCCCGGATGGATACGTTCCGACTGTACGTAGTCCGGATACTTTACACCGCACAGCGTGTTGATCTGTGGATGCACGTAGGTGTTCGAGAGCTACGCGGAGAGTGTGCAGGTGGGGACGGAGACGCTGGAGTTTGGGATTTTCGACTCTTCCGGTGCGTGCGCTCCTTCAAATGATATGTAATTTACTCCGCAACTGACTCTAACTTTGTCCATAACTTTAATATACGTGATACACACACAGGCCGAGAAGAATACGACCGCCTCCGCCCGCTCGCCTACCCACAGACCGACGTCTTCCTCATCTGCTTCAGCGTCGGCCTCCCCCCGTCGTTCGAGCACGTCAAGAGCAAGTGGGTGGCGGAGGCGCACCACCACTGTCCGGGCACGCCCGTCGTCTTGGTCGCCACGCAGACCGACTTGCGGGCGGACGAGGAGACGGTGGAGAGGATGGCGCAGGACGGGAAGCTCGCTGTGTCGGTGCACGAGGGGCAGAGGATGGCGAGGGAGGTGGGCGCTGCGAAGTACCTCGAGTGTTCGGCGAAGATGCTGGAGGGGGTGAAGGATGTTTTTGATCAGGTAAGCATGCAGATACTGCGGGATTATCTGCGCTAAGTGCTGAGTTGTCGTTGGTGCGCCAGGCTATCGCTGTGGGCGTTGCGCAGAAGAACAAGGAGGAAAAACGTGGGAGGAGGTGTATCGTTCTGTAGACACCAGGGGGAAGAAGTCTGTGAGAATAGGAAACGACTCCGCGAGAGGCAGGTTACAAATATGGGAGAATTGGACAGGCGAGATGCCAGTAGCGCGTAGCACAAGCGTAGTATCCTCCAGGACAGACAAAGATGGGCGCCTGCGCCCAAAGTCTGAGAACTTGAGGAGTAAAGATCGTGTTGAGGTCCTGCCGGGTGGTATCTTCCGAGAGAGACAGATAAAGAGGTGACCAGCTGGAGGAGCAAAGATGACATTGAGTTCCTGAGTTTAGTATTGCACAGTATGGACGAAAGCAAGACGAAAGCAGAAATTTCAAATTTGGGGATGCGTTTCGGGCCTCTGATCCGAAGGCCTGCAAAGTGATCGCCGCTCAGCCGCATCGCCCCTTTCACCGTTTGCTAATACTATCCACCCCAACACGCGACTGCGGCGAGTCCCTTTACGACTCCTGGACGACGGCACTGCAACCCTCCCCCCTCAACGGCCTTACCGCGCCTATCTCCGCCGTCGCTTCTCTGTACCTCGCCGTATTCATCACGTCGGCGTTTTTTGGCTTTTCTGATACCTAACCCGCCTTTCTGATACTTTATGTAAAGTCAACAGCTTTGCCCGCATTTCTGATACATGTTCCATCATGCCCACATAGATCAGTGGTAGATCTCCTTCCCAACTTGCACATAGCGGGGTGATCTGTGAAGGTGGCGGGGGTTCGATTCCTCCTGTGGGCATCTTTGTAAAGTTTATTATTTTTCGCTGGCTGAAAGTGGTCGGCACACCTACTTTCAGCCAACTGACATCACGCCTTCGTGGATCAGCGGTAGATCTTCTCTGATTAGTTCATTGTCCAAGGATAGACTTCATGAGAAAGCGCGGGTTCGAATCCCACCGAGGGCACTCAAAGTTGAGGAGGGTATTTTTTTCTTCAAGACGGGCTCTTTCCTCACTTTCTTGTCCGCACCGTCTCCTCTCTAATTTTATATTTCAACTCGAATCATCTCTTCCATCAGTCGTTAGCATTTTCGTCTATGTATCCTATATACTTTGTCACCACTACCCATTACGCCTGTATGGATCAGTTGGTAGATTGCCTTCCATTGTTATTCTGTGAAAAATGGTGTCTGAAGGAGATGGAGGTTCGAACCCTCCTGTGGGCATAACGTCTTTCTGAATTTTTTCTTCCAGCTCATTGTTTTTAGTCGAATCTCATCAGACCTGTATTTTTTGTAGGGACTTACCACGACCACATGGATCAGTCGGTAGATTGCCTTCTTATTGTGAAACGATGCAGAGGGCTGCTGCATGAAGGAGACGGAGGTTCGAACCCTCCTGCAGGCATTTTCAAGGCACCGACAAATCTTTTTCTTACATGCTCATTCTTTTTTTGTCGAGACTCATCATGCCCACATAGATCAGTTAGTAGATCGCCTTCTGTTATTATGCCACAAAGGATTGTATTTGAAGGAGACAGAGGTTCGAACCCTCCTGTGGGCATGCAATTCTTCGAGAATTTTTTCTTCCAGCTCATTCTTTTGTCAAGACACATCACGCCCACATAGATCAGTTGGTAGATCGCCTTCCACAATCAATTTGAATATATTGAGTTTTGAAGGAGACGGAGGTTCGAGCCCTCCTGTAGGCATATTGCGGAAACAGTCTTTTTTGGCAAGTTTTTTGGCGATTGGTTTCTATTTTTTTTTTTCTAGGTTAAATTATTATCACTGGAACAAATGCTCTATTTTTTTTTATTTCTCCCAAGAGCACTTCGGTTGAGCATCCTGTAAAAATTCAACATTGACTGGCTCGACCGTTTCTGACACCCAACACCCGAGATGCCATTACAGTAGAGTACATGTATTCGACCTCTGCCAATGCCTTTGTGGATCAACGGTAGATCGTCTCGTCCATTGTGGTTAACTCAATCCTGGATTATGAGATCGCGGGGGTTCGAGTCCCCCCGAAGGCATGTATCCGTGGTCTGTTGGTTTTTTTTTCTCACTTTTTTTTGTTGGCTCTCCACTCAGCTTGGAATCCCAACTTTTGCGTGCCAGATTCTTGGATCCTCGTAACTCCTGTACTTTGTCAGTGCTTGATTACGCCCGCATGGATCCTGTACGCATTCATTGAAAAGAATCCATTTCTATCCCATGTCTATTTTTCTCAAACCTCATGAAGCCTGCATGGATCAGTTGGTAGATCGCCTTCTGTGATTGAAGTTGATGAACTGATATATGAAGGAGGCGGAGGTTCGAACCCTCCTGCGGGCATTTGGTCAGAAGAGTCTGTTTTTGTTCCATGATCTTTTGTTGGGAAGCACAGTAAAAACTTACGATGCATAGGATTTTATACGTAGGTGTCAGCGCTGCCTGAATGCAATTGAACACAAAACTTATTTTATTGGAACAGCATTTCCGGAACTCGTGACTAGGTTGAATTAATATTGCTGCGCTTTTAGACTGTAGATCTGACCTCCGGCTCAACCCTCTTCTAGCGTAAGAACAATCAGCGGAACCAACCAATGCGATGGGTTGAAAGGGCCGGGTTTAACATGTCACACTACATAGATCACTTCCTTATTGTTTTTCTCGGGCGCCGCTTGGACGTGTGATGGCTCAGCGTCGGACATGATTTGTGTGATCTGGATGCGGTGGGGTGATCTATACATATGTCTCCCATATTCACAATTTAGAGCCCGAAAGCTCGAAGTACAACTCACCTCGGGTGTTAAATTCAAAAATCTAGATGGTATTAGGGAAATGTTGTTCATTGCGCGGAGCGTCGCTCTGGAGTTCAGACTTATCCTTCATCTTCACCATCACCATGAGATTACCTGGTCAAGAGCGAGTTCGAAAACCCTTTGGAGCCAAAGTAGTCAGAGCTGCTGCGGCATTATTGGAGACGCACTCACTTTGCGAGTCAACGTAAAATAATTTAAAGGCAGCTGCAAAAATGATCACGGAGGGAGGGTGGATGTTAAATATTGCTCTATTGCATGCCCACAATTCTCCTTCATTGCGAGAAGCTGAAAGAAAGATCCAGGTAGTTTAGCATGAATACACAGTCACAGGCCAACGTGGCAAGGCTTGTCGCACTGGAAGATTTTTCAAAATGAGATACGACAAATACCAGTGAGCTGCGAATCGAACCTTGTCAACATCTATCAAACATTGAAATAAGTTGTAAATACAAATCTCTCGACAAACCTAGGGTGATTTTATCGATTAGTGCCGCAGTTGTGCATTTTTTTAAAAAAAACCTTATAACACCGGAATCTGCTGAGGCCAGAAATCATACCTCTTATATGCGTTGGTACGTTGGTTGCAGAGGAGGTCCACCAGCGTTGCTGTTCTCGTCAAAGTATTAGCTATGCTGATGCTGTTCACCTGTCTGCGCCGTGGCCTTTGGGGCCTCCTCTGATAAGACAATGCATACAGTATGATAGTAGGATACCTGCCAGTCTCAATCCATCACTTGATCCGTCAACGTCGTCCACACACTGCCACGAGGCTCTGCAACTGCTACATAATAATAGTCGATTGGATTCTTATCGAGAATAAAGAGGACATTCAATTGCGGCTCTCCGTTTCCGCTCTTTCACGAACGACCTCCAGACAAGATGAATCATGTCAAACTTGTGATAATTGGGGACCATGGTGTCGGAAAGGTTCGCCGCAACGTTAACCTTACGCGCCGATCCAGGTCTTGGATATACACATACTTATCGATTCTGTTTGCCGCGTGCGGCGCTAGACCAGCATGTGTATCTCGTTTACGACCGGGAAGTTCCCCTATGGATATATTCCGACTGTGGGTGGTTCAATTGCGATATCGGATAGTACAGCGCGTGTTAATTTGTGGATACATGTAGTTCTTCGACAGCTATGCAGATCGTATGCAGTTGGGGACGAAGACGTGGATGTTTGGTATCTTTGACACTGCCGGTGAGGGCGCTCCCTTCAAATTCCGCAACTGACAAACGTTGAACAACTATATAAATTATACACAGGCAGCGAGGAATACGACCGCCTCCGCCCGCTCTCCTACCCACAGACCGACATCTTCCTCGTCTGCTTCAGCGTCGGCCTCCCCCCGTCATTCGAGCACGTAAAGAGCAAGTGGGTGCCAGAGGCGCACCACCACTGCCCGGGCACGCCCTTCGTCTTGGTCGCCACGCAGATCGACTTGCGGGCGGACGAGGAGGCGGTGGAGCGGATGGCGCGGGACGGGAAGCTCGCTGTGTCGGTGCACCAGGGGCAGAGGATGGCGAGGGAGCTGGGGGCGGCGAAGTATGTCGAGTGTTCGGCGAAGACGCTGGAGGGGGTCAAGGACGTTTTCGACCAGGTAAGCAGATGCATGAGGAATTGTATATTATCTGCGCTGCATACTGAGTTGGTGTCGGTGCTCGTCAGGCTATCGCTGTCGGCGTTGCCTACAGGAACAAGGAGGACAAGCGGGGGAGAAGGTGCATCGTCTTGTAGACGCCAGGCAAACGGTATCCGAAGTCTGCGAGAATAACACGTCGAGGAAACGCCAAGAGAGTCAGGTACAATTTTGGGGCGAGCGAGATGTCAGTATTGGGAGATGCCCCTGGTCACTACATACCATTTGTAACGGTCCGCGATAGAGTAAATCAACGAGCAAAAATGGCCTTACCTCCGGTCCGTTTATAGAGTAAAACGAACTTGAACAGGGCCAGGCCCGTCGGATATAGAGTAAGGTTGTCAGCGCTGCCTGAATGCAATTGAACACAAAAGTTATTTTATTTTATTGGAACACCATGTCCGGAGCTCGTGACCGGGTTGAATTAATATTGCTGCACACTTGGACTCTAGATCTGACCTCTGGCTCGAATTCCATCGAAAATGAAACACAAATGAAATACAAACAGCCGTCTGAAACCTTTTCCAGCGTAAGACCAATAACTCACCCATTCAACGCGATGGGTTGAAAAGCCAGGTTGAGCACATCACACTGCATAGATCACCTCGAGGCCTTTAATAATATCCTCCTTCTCGGTCGCCGCTTGGACGTGGGAGTCCCGGCTCAGTGTTGGATGTGATTTGTGTAATCTGGATGCAGTGGGAAGGCAGCCTGATCTATACATATGTCTCCCATATTCACAATTTAGAGCCCGAAAGCTCGAAATACAACTCACCTCGTGTATTAAATTCAAAGATCTAGATGGTATTAGGGAAATGTTGTTCATTGCGCGGAGCGTCGCTCTGAAGTTCTGACTGTATATCAAGCTCCACATCAACTCATCCTTCATCTTCACCATCACCATGAGATTACCTGGCCAAGAGCGAGTTTGAAAACACTTCGAGGCCAAAATATAGTAAGAGCTGCGGAGGAGTGACATGATTGAAGACGCACTCACTTTGCGAGTCGACGTAAAATAAGGCAAGCCAGATAGCTGCAAAAATAGTGATCACGGAGTGAGGATGGACATTAAATACTTCTCTATTGCATGCCCACAATTCTCCATTATGAGAAGCGGAAAGAAAGATCCAGGTAGTTTAGTATGAATACACAGTCACAAGCCACGTGGCAAGGCTTGTCGCACTAGAAGATTTTTTAAAATGAGAAACGACAAATACCAGTGAGCTGCGAATTGAACCTTGTCAACATCTATCAAACATTGAAATAAGTTGTAATATACAAATCTCTCGGCAAACCTAGGGTGATTTTATCGACTAGTGCCGTAGTTCCGCATTTTTCTTTTGAAAAACGTTTAACACCGGAATCTGCTGAGGCCAGAAATCATACCTCTTATGTGAGTTGGTACGTTGGTTGCAGAGGAGGTCCACCAGCGATGCTGTTCTCGTCAAAGTATTGGCTGTGCCGATGCTGTTGACCTGTCTGCCAGTGTACCGTGGCCCGTGGGCCTCCTTTGATAGGACAATGCATACAGTATGATAGTACGATACCTGCCAGTCTCAATCCATCACTTGATCCGTCAACGTCGTCCACAAACACTGCCACGAGGCTCTGCACCTGCTACTTAATAGTTGATTTGGATTCTTATCGATAGAGAGGACTTGCAGTTGCTGCTCTCCGTTTCCGCTCTTTCACGAACGACCTCCAGGCAAGATGAATTCTGTCAAACTTATGATAATTGGGGACCATGGTGTCGGAAAGGTTCGCCGCAACGTTAACCTTACGCGCCGATCCAGGTCTTGGATATACACATACTTATCAATTCTGTTTGCCGCGTGCGGCGCTAGACCAGCATGTGCATCTCGTTTGCGAGCGGGAAGTTCCCGGATGGATATGTTCCGACTGTACGTAGTTCGGATACTTTACACCGTACAGCGCGTGCTGATTTATGGGACTGTAGGTTTTCGACAGCTATGCGGAGAGTGTGCAGGTGGGGATGGAGACGTGGGTGTTTGGGATTTTCGACTCTGCCGGTGCGCATAATAAATAATTCACTTCACTTCGCAACTGACACTTGTGCATAACTTTGAATAACACACAGGCCAAGAAGAATACGACCGCCTCCGCCCGCTCTCCTACCCGCAGACCGACGTCTTCCTCATCTGCTTCAGCGTCGGGCACCCCATGTCGTTCGAGCAGGTCAAGCGCAAGTGGGTGCCGGAGGCGCACCACCACTGCCCGGGGACGCCCTTCGTCTTGGTCGCCACGCAGATCGACTTGTGGGCCGATGAGGAGGCGATGGAAAGGATGGCGCGGGGCGGGAAGCTGGCGGTGTCGATGCACCAGGGGCAGAGGATGGCGAGGGAGGTGGGCGCTGCGAAGTACCTCGAGTGTTCGGCGAAGACGCTAGAGGGGGTCAAGGACGTTTTCGACCAGGTAAGCAGATGCACGATGATGAATTCGCAGCTCTGGAGAGTTGTGGCTCGTGCTGACTATTTATCAGGCTATCGCTGTGGGCGTTGCGCAGAGGAGCAAAGAGGAAAAGACTCGGAGAAGGTGTATCGTTCTGTAGACATCAGGCTGCGAGAATAACACGTTGAGGAAACGTCGCGACAGGCAGGTTACAATTTTGAGCGGGCTAGATGTCGGTAGCGCGTAGTACAAGCGTCGTATCCCCTTGGTATTCCCCAGGAGAGACAAGGAAGGAGGCGGCTATGGTCCTCCGGGCGCGGAGATTGAGGGGGTACAAATGACGTTGAGATCCTGCCGGGTGATATCTTCCGGGAGACAAGGAAGGAGGCGACCAGGGTCGGAGAACTTGAGGAGTAAAGGTGACGTTAAGGTCCTGCGAGGTGTAGTCACGAAAGCACAAAGCTTCGGGTCTTTGATC